ATCTCCTCACCACTTCCAGCGCCCCGACCCGCGACGTGCCTCCTCCCCAACCTCGCTGCAATCCCGAACCTCCCCTCGCCACGATCCGTCCCGCCGAGAGCCCGTCGTCGCGCGCCTGGTCGTCCAGGATGACGTCCTGGCCGGGGCGGAAGGAGGGCGGAGGGGGACTCCCTCCGCCCTCCTGCTCCTCCGCCGTCCTCCTCCTCCTCCTCCTCCGCCGCCTCGACGTTAGATCTGGCGCTCGGGTTCGTGCCTTTCCTGATCAGCGACGAAGACTTGACTTCGCAACATCCTCATTCCTCGGCCAGCCTAGACACGGGATGGACAGAAGATGCATTCGAGGCCGAGCAAAGGCCCCGCAATGTGAGCACAAGATGATGGGCAGAGCGGCCTGGCCACCTTCCCTCCGCAGTGTATGGGAGGGGTGCGCCTGTCTGGCCACGCGTGGCCGACCAACACATCTGGAGGAAGTACGTCCTACCCCTGTCCAAGCACATCCCACACAGGAACCCTTTGCCGCGACCGCCTCCTCCTCCTCCTCCTCCCTTTCCTCCTCCTCCTCCTCCTCCTACTCCTCCTCCTCCTCCTCCTCCTCCTCCTCCTCCTCCTCCTCCTCCTACTCTCCTCCTCCTCTTCCTCTCCTCCTCTTCCTCCTTCTCCTTCTCCTTCTCCTCCTCCTCCTCCTCCTCCTCCTCCTCCTCCCTTTCCTCCACCTCCTCCTCACCTGTTCCCCTTCTCCTCCTCCTCCTTTGCCTTCTCCTCCTCCTTCATCCTCCTCCTAGCTCTTTTCCCCCTCCCCCCTAAACGCCGGCCAAGTCCAAGAAACGTGGGGACGAACTCTGGAACGCTCCACTGTTCTGGAGGAGGATTTTGGAGTCCCGAAAACGATGCGGTGACAGACGTGCCGGTGACCTAACCCCAGAGACCACCGCAACGTCCGTCGCTGCACGGTTTTGGGACCCTTGTAATTCCCCTGTGTCCCCGAGACGTCCTCGAGAGGGACCCGAGTCCCAAAACATGCGGTGACCCCGATCCCACCGACTCCGCACGGTGTGGTTCACCGAACCGTTTGGGGGCCCCCGTAGCTCCAATGCCCCGCGGAGGTTCCAAAATACTCCCTGGGCCTCCCTCAGACGCCCACGCTGGCTGGCCCCCCCCCTCTTGTGTTTCCCGTCGCGGCCTCACCCCTTCAAGAGAGGTGTCGGCCGGGCCGGCACTACGCAAGCCGTGGGAAAACAAGGTGGGTGGGGGGGGGCCGACGCCCGCTGTCCCTGGACCTTTCCGGGAGTGCGTGCCGACCAAGGCTTCAAGCGAAGCAACGGTGGCGACGACGAGGCCCAATGCCCAGAAGCGGGGAAAGCGGTGGGAGGGCAGAGGATGTGTAAATTCGCATTTCTCCCTGGTCCTCTGGAGCAGCATGCGTAATCGCGGTTGCACGCATGAGCCCTCCCGGGCGGGTCCGCTCGGGTCGGGCGGACCCCCACGGGCGGTTCAGGCCGGTCCGCCAAGGCGGGGACACTAGACGGGCGAGTCGGCCGAGGAAAAGTCGGGAACAGCTCGTCGGGCGGGACCTAGTGAATGGTGATGCGATCGCGAGCTCTCGTCCTCCTCCTCGTCTACGTATCTTTCCTCAACCACCCGAGCCCGTCCCCCCTCCTGCACCACCCAGCTTGAAATAGGTCAACGTCTATCGCGCGACTCTTCGAGTCAGAGCGCGCTTCCCGTCATCCACCAAGATCAAAGATAAGTTTGAAGGGGGCCGGAAGGCCCAGCCAACAGCTTCGCCTCAGGCGAAGCCAAGCTCCCGCTCTGTTGTTCCGCAGTAGCGATAGTCCCAGTATGAGTGGATATGCCATCTCAAGCAATAGGAAGATCCTTTTGGTCTCGATAGCCATTGTGTGCCTCGCAGCGAAGCACAATCATAATTGGGCGGCGGGCCGCTTGAGCCGACGCGGCCGCGGGCGCACGCTCGCTTCCACTCCTTACGTCCCTCAACTCCCGGAGCGTGAGCCCGTCGCCCCTACACAGTAGGCGTAGCAGCTAACATACACAAGGACAGAAAAGGAAGCGGGCCTAAAGGAAGGTGGACTCGCTAGCAAGTTGCCTCGCATGTACGTGACGTACTCATCAGGCGGCGTCAGAACTTGATGTCTGGCCGGCCCGATATGGAGTACGTTTTTTCAGGTCATGTTTGAAGGTCTGTATACCTCCCATGACTTGTAGGAGCATTTCTCTGTCGATGCCCCCCCCCCCCTTGGTGTGGCCATCCGCAGTCATATCGCGGGTGTCACACCACTGAATGCTGTGCACGATTCCACGCTCCATCATCTGTCGTATCCGGCAGAAGTGCCGTGGCATCACACAGCCTGGAGGCCTCAATGTGAGAGGCATTGGAGGCAGCATCGGCGAAGACCGCGGCAGGGCCGCTCCCGCCTTTCATGCTGCCACCCCGAACCACAATGCGGCCCTTGAAGTTCGGGAGTTCTGTAGGTAGTTCCGCGTGCTTGACAGAAAAGAATTCCAAAACGTTTGCAGAAAGGGGTGTCTTGCCGGTCTTTCGTGCGTTCGCCTCGACGTCCGCGCGTCCCTTGGCGGTATGGACTAGCCGAGTCTGCCTCTTCCCCAGACGCTTGCATTCTTTGCGACGGGCGCCCTGCGCGCGTGGCTCGGCTGAAACCTCTTTCTTGGTGGCGTTGCGCGTTGCAAACAAAGGGCGGTGCCAGTGAGTCATGTCGAACTTGTTCCGGTGTTCCTGGCGGTAGCCCTGTGCGCGCGGCATCGTAGGCGTTCTAACGACGGCGCGAAACTGCGGCGCAGTTTGTTCGCGTTGACAACGTCCTGGCCGTCATTGTTCAACAGCGCAGAAGAGCGGGCGACCCTCGCGGGAGCGGCCTCCGTCTGCGGTCGGTAAAAGAGCATCGCGGTGATGTCGCGTGGTCCGTCGGGGAGGGTTGCGTGTAGTATGTTGTTGTCTGTCACACCCTTGGCGTTCTCATCGGTGATGACGGCGCCGGTTTGGAGGTCGCGGGTGACGCGTCTTTCCAAGGCGTTCCACGTAAGGCCGTCGCTTCTAGTAGCTCGAAACCGTTGAGTTTGTTTGTCTGCCCGAATCCAGACGCGAAGAGCAGATCGATCTCGAACCTCGCGGGCCTGAAAGGTATCTTTCGCGTACTTTGTATCGATCTGTCGTTTTTTCCTGGACATGGTATTCCAGCATTCAGGCAGCACGTGGTCGAGCCCAGACGGCGCCTGGACGCGAGTCTCACGGCCCCGTACAATAATTGTGCCTTCTGGGGTCACCTCGGGCAACTTGTGGAAGCGAAAAATTCCAGTCCGAGGCTAACTTACTTGGCGATGATCATTCCCACCTACGCCGCCACAGACGTGGCGAAAATTCTATTCGCCCTCGCACGAACATGTGGTCTCGAAATCGCGGGCGACATCGATCTTGTTAACCAGGGCGGGGACGCCGATCACATCGTCTGCAGGGCGGAAAAATTGAGTGCGAGGCGCGCTTATGCGCCGCATGACGGCATGGCCACGAAGTTCCCTGCAGTCGGGATCTGGAGCTGGAGCTGCAAGCCTGGATGCTTCGGGAAAGTCTGGTTCGGGAAGCTGTGCTCCGGAGTCGGAAGTTTCGGGCAGGCCTGGTTCGGGAAGCTTCGCAATGCCGGGGTCGCCCCATTCTGCTTGGTAGAGTAGCATTGGGTCTGCCTTAGCAGGCTCTCCAAATGGGCGGGATGGTTAGAATGCGATCAATTCGGGGGTTTCTGGATTGTGGTGTGGAGGGCGCCCTCTTTGACAAGGGAGACAGATCTGCCGTCCAGAACCATCATATGCTTTACTCGGTGTGCGAACCGTCAGGATGTTTTGCGTACGGAGCCGTGTCCAAGACATGGTAGTCACCGGAGCATCGTGCGCCAGAGTGAAGATGATACTCCATGAATAAGCCCCCGCACGCTGTCTCCTCGAATTTCGCAGCGGACTTATTGATTTCGGGATTGAGGCATTTCCAAAAGATGTGTGCACCAAATGGAACAACATGACTTCGTAAGGATTCTCCAAATTGAGCTTCATGTGAGGTTTCAAACCCACCCCGTCCATCCCTGTAGCTGATGCAAAAGTCCAAGCTTCTCAAGAGCAGACGTGGTCAGGGAATCTCAGATGAAACGCCCCGCCTGCCCTACCGTCACGTCTGAGGGCGCGGCAGGAAGAAGTCTTCTATCAGGAAAAGGGGATGCGGAGGAGAAAAAGAGGAGGAGGCGGAGCAAGAGAAGGATGCCGATGAGGAAAAGAAGGAGGATGCGGAGGGGGAAAAAGAGAGAGAGAGAGAGAGAAAACAAAAGAGGGAAAGAGAGAGAGAGAGAAAGAGAGAGAGAGAGGGAGAGAGAGAGAGAGAAAGAGAGAGAGAGAGAGGAAACGGAAGAGAAAGAGAAAGAGAGAAGAGAGAGAGAGAGAGATAAAGAAACAACAAAAGAGAGAGAGAGAGAGAAAGAGAGAGAAACAAAACAGAAGGATGAGGAGCAGGACGAGGAGTGGATTATTACTCGAGGGCCGAAGGAGCGCGGCGCCGCCTCGACGGTCCCAACAGCCTCCAGCCTGTAGCTGAGGGCCATGGAAAATTATGCTTCCTGGGGGGGGGCATGGGAGCCTCGAAAATGGTTCACTCCCGCAGGACCGACCTGGGCGAAGAGGTAGGGCATGGCGACCGGCAGGAGCGCATGCCCCTGCCCGCTGCCTGGCCGTCGAGACGACCTTTGTCAAGGATGAAAGGCAGGAGGAGGAGGAGAAGGAAAAGGGTATATAAGGAGACGGAGGATGAGAAGGATCGCACGTGCTTGCACGACGAGGAAGATGGGACTGGGGGGGAAGGAGGAAGAGATGCAGGGTCCTGGAGGGGCTCGACACGGAGGATCCCGACGACGACGCGAGGGGCGACCCAACGAGAGAGCGTACGATCGAACGACCTGCGCACGGCCGGCCAAGCCGCGGCCCCCCGCCGATCGCGCCACGGGTCCTTGTGGAGCAGCCGGAAGGTGTTCACTTCTCTGTCGAACATCTTCCCGATCTTCTCCTCGGCGAGGGAGGACGAGGACAAAAGTGGTGGGTGAACAAAAGAGGACGAGGACGAGGAGTCGACGTCTTTGTGCGTGGTGTATACGACGAAGCCAGGGCGAGGACAACGTTGGGTGAACATAGGTTGAGAATCTCTGCCATCCGGCGGCCCTGGAGGATGTCTCGGGCGCCGTGACCTTCTCCGAGCGTTCTGGAAAGCGCTGAGAGCGTTCCAGAACGCTCCGGAACGGACTTCTCCTCGTCCTACCCCCGTCCGAAGAACGCTCTAGACACAGGTATCGCGTTCCTGGGCCTGTCCCAGACCTCCGACGCCATGGTCTTCTTTCCACGTGGGCATCCAAAAATCTCGGCCCGAACCCGTTTTTGTTACTCCGAGTTTCTTAATAAGCGTCGGGGGGGCCGCACCCCCGCCGACAGCCCCACATCGACCCCCATCACGGGCAGCCACCGCGCGCAGAATGCGCTCAGACTCCCGTCGCGGAGCGACGACGAGGCGAGGCTGATCCCCGTCGGGGGGGCACCCCCCCACGCTCATGAAGAAACCCAAAATATCCTGAGTCGTTTTCTGACGGTCCCGGCGCTCGTCGAGGGCTGTTCTGGCACGGACTTATCCTCGTCCTGGCCCCGCCCGAGTGTACCCTTGCTGTTCCGGGGGGCCCGGAGGCAGACCCGAAGGGGCCACGCTGAGGTCTCCGGACGCCTCTGGGGAGCTCCAGGGGCCCGTGGCGGAGGGGAAGGAGGGAGGGACAAAAGGAGGGAGGGAGACGAGGGAGAAGAGGAGAGGAGGAGGAGGAGGAGGAGGAGGACGACGACGAGGTTTGATGCCGAATGTCTTCCGTCCCTCCTTCGCCCTCCTCGTGTACCTCCGCCCCCTAGCCCAGCGAAAGAGGAGATGAGTCATCCCGGGGGGGCAGCACCCGGCGGGGCCCGCGACCGCAGGCAGAGGGCGTCCACCCTCCGTGGACGGGGGGGCGCGAAGCGGGCAATCCGGAGGAGACCTGCGGGAGCACGAGCTCCCGCCCGCCCGCCTCCTCCTCCTCCTCCGCCCGCCTCCTCCTCCTCCTCCGCCCGCCTCCTCCTCCTCCGCCCGCCTCCTCCTCCTCCTCCTCTCTCATGTGGCTATTCTCTCTTAGATTGTCTTGAATGTTTCTCTCTCTCTCTCTCTCTCTCTTCTCTCTCTCTCTCTCTCTCTCTCTCTCTCTCTCTCATATCTGTCCTCTCTCTCTCTCTCTCTGTCTCTCTCTCTCTCTCTCTCTCTCTCTCTCTCTTTCTCTCTCTCTCTCTCTCTCTCTCTCCTCTCTCTCTCTCTCTCTCTCTCTCTCTTTATTTCTGCATGTCTCTCTCTCTCTCTCTCTCTCTGTATAACTAATGTGTTGCTCCTCTCTCTCACTCGTTCTCTCCCTTTCTCTGTGTCTCTCTGTATCTCCCTTTCTCTCTCTCTCGCTCTTGTTGTTTGTTCGTGGTTCTCTCTCTCTCTCTCTCTCTCGTTCTCTCTCTCTCTCTCTCTCTTTCTCTCTTTCTCTCTCTCTCTCTCTCTCTCTCTCTCTCTCTCGTTATATATCTCTCTCTCGCGGCCTAAGTTCTCCGAGCGTGGCTATCCCCACAAGGCCTGTCAGCTTTTGGGGGGATGGTCAAACCAGTTTCCTCGCCATTTGCGGTCGGGGCACGAGAAAATCTGCACAGGTAAGAACACGAAAAAGCAGAGGGAGAAAGGGAAGGATGTAGGCTCCTCCTCCTCCTCATCATCGTCCCCCTCCTCTTCCCTCTTGACGTGGGCCAAGCTTCAGCTCGGTGGCTGCAGCGTTCTGGTCAGAGAAGGGTTGGTGCGAGGCCGACTTGGGCAGAGTGCGCGACGAGCTGGGCAGGGCGAGCGCAGCTGGACAGAGCACGGCGACAGCGACAGGTCAAACAAGTTAGGCCCGAAGGGCACAGAGCACGCGCTCGCCCTGCAGCGCATGAGGAGAAGCAGGTCGAGTGACACATCGAACGCCGTCGGAATGCACGCGCCATCGACTACAGTGCAAAGCAGTCCGCCCGCATGGCGTTTTGCGCCTGCTCCCATGGGGCAGGCCCAAGGACACGCTAAGCAGCTGCAACACGAGTCTCAACGTCAGGTATTCCTCTTCCACCACCCCGTATTTCCCATCAACCGTGCCTTCCTCCCAAGGTGGACCTCGCATGCCATAAGAAACATAATCGCGCTGCGCGGCAGAATGAGATATGAGAGTAAGCGACGGCGTGTGGTCGAACGAAATGAAAACTGCAACGGTGAAGGATTTTGCGTGGTGAGCGAGCAGCTAGGCCACATCAGCAAATGCATGCAGGCCTGGCCAAGAGGTACTTCCTGGCCTGATGTGGCTGTGCAACTCGGCGCTTGAGGCTGGCACATGTCGAATGGCTGGCTTAAGTGGTGGAGTGCCGAAGTGGCAAATGACAGCATCCATCAATAGACGGTTGCGAGCTGAAACTTCAAATAGAAGCCGGTAGACTGAAAAAAGTAAAAGGACCGCTAATGATGCCAGCCTCGTCCCAATAACAGTCAGGCTGATGAACGAAGCTGGAACAGTGTTGGCTTCGCCGAGGGCTATGAAGGGACGCGTGGATATTTGTCCCTTTTCAAATTTCATTGTAGTGGTCTCGTGCCGAACAACGACAGGTCTTATTGAACTGATCTGCTCATCAACAACAAAAAAACAAACGCGCGCAAAATCCACCGCGGATGCCCTCAGAGGAAAACGAACAATGGAATGCTGCATAAGCGGCGCCCGCGTTCCGCCCGCAGTCCAACTGCAGACAAAACCACAAATGATCAGCCCACCGGAAAGCTCACGAGCATTGCGGCGGGGACGGTCATACATCGAGCGAGGGCAGCGGAATTATAGCCGTCTGATGGGGCTCAGCCAAGGGCTACAAACATACAACCGCAAACTGGAGGCAAAGAAACAGGAGCAGCGCGAAAGAAGGTCACTGCGAAACCAGACAGATGTCTCCAGGAAGGCGAATGCCTGCCAACGTGCCGCTTGCAATTGTTAATCACACTGGCCCGCGGTAAACCCCAGCGGCAACGCCCACGCGCCAACAATAACACCTAGACGCCCGCTGAAGTCATTGGCGCGTTGCTCAGATCCTCACGAGCCAATCCATGAACACCCGCGAGGCGAGTCGCCCTGATCAAGGCCGGGCAATCGGGCAAGCGACGAAAATAGCGAGCCGCATCCGCATTCGCGGATGACGAGGTGCAGGAAGCGGAGCAAAGGAGAGGTGGGCGGAAAATGAAAATCATAATGAACACGGTGAAGAGAGGGAGTATGGTGATAGGAAAGACTGCAAACGTGCAAGAGCATGAGCAGGTAGGAACACGGAAGAGGAGCTTGGGGGATGTAGGAAGAAACACAAGAAGCCTGAGGGGGGCAAAAGGCGCACCAGTAATCCGCGCGGAACGCGCGCGCGCCGCGCGCCCATCACCAGCGAGGGTGTAGGAAGAGGTGGGAGGATCAAAGAGCAGGGGGAAGTAGGAGGAAATAGGAGGGGCAACAACATGCAGAAGAAAGCATTTGCAGACTCGAATCCCAAGCAAGTTGCGCTAAACATGAAAGCGAAGTGAAGCAACATGCAACGCAAGAAAAAACGATGACAACCGTTACATTAAGAAAGAAAAGGGCGCAGGAGTAATTAATCGGAAGATGCACAGGAACGGGGAGGGAGCAGAAAAAGGAGGAGGTCACAGAAGAGGGACGAGGAGGAGGAGGAGGAGGACAAGGAAGAGGAAAAAAACACGCTGACGACGACGGGCATCAATCACCGAGGATCTCGAGTCGTTCGCTCTAGGTGCCTGCGGGGCGCCCCATCAACGTCGTCATATCGGTGCCGCCGCGGCGCTCTCTAAGGGCAATTCTGGCTGCCTTGGGCGGCTGTCTTGGAGCCCCTCGGGGCCCTCTTCGGGTCGTTTCGGGGATCTCCTGGGCCCCTCTTGGAAGCCTTGGGGGTCCTCCCGGGGCCAGATTGAAGCCGTCGGTCAAAGATGTGGGGCCCTAGCAACGCCCCATTCCTTCTCGAGCCCCCCAGTCGCCAAATGCGGCCCTCTTGCGACGCCCTTGAAGCGTTTTGGGCCGCTCTTCGGTGCTCTTGGAGCCGACTTGGGCCCTGGTGGCCCCCTCTCAAAGCAAATTCAAACCAACTCGCAGCCATCTCGAGGCCTCTAGAAACAACGGAAAGCAAAAAGGCGAGAAGGGAAAAATTGAAGCGCACAGTGATTGTAAAGGAGTTGAACTCGTTGGAGGCCTCCTTCAAGAGCTCGAAAGACAATCGCGGGCTGTCACGAAACGGTCTCGAGGGGGCTTGGAGGCACATTGGAAGCAAAATTGCACCATCTGCAAGTATATGGAGCGATCTCGGAATCCTTCTTGGGTTGCCTGCGGTTCCTTTGGGGCCATCTTCGGCCATTTCGGGCGCTCCACCGCCCCGCGGCCACTCTCTGCCCACGCCCGGGGACGAGGGGGCAGGGGGGGGGGCCCCGTCCCTGCCAGGGAGAAACGCGCGGATAAGCTAGCCCGTTAAACCACCGCCCACGCTCTGCATGGCTGGTGGGATTTTCCACGGCCGCCTGGGAATATTATCCCGGATTCTCGAGTGAATTCTGCCCGGATTTTTCCAAATCCAAATGTGAATTTGCCCCGGAAACCGCGTGAATTTTTCCGGGTGCCCCCCGGATTTTTCCGCGCGTGTTTTTTCGATGCGCGCGCCCAAGGAAAAATCCACCAAGAATTCGGAGAGGTATTCAAAACGAGTTTTTGTTTTTCTCCCCGAAGTTTTCACTAGGCCGCGCGCGGAGCCTGGAAGGAGGGCGGGGGGGGGGGAGAAGTCACAGGGAGTGGAGGGGCACGCCGCAGGAGAGGGCCGGAGGGAGACAGGAATCCCAGCACCCCTTTAAGCGTGAGCGGCGTGACGAAGTAATTCATCCAAGCCCACTCTTCCCCTTCATGGACACGGTTCCCCATT